AGAAAGAGAGAGAAAGAAAGGAAAGAAAGAAAGAAAGAAAGAAAGAAAGAAAGAAAGAAAGAAAGAAAGAAAGAAAGAAAGAAAGAAAGAAAGAGAGAGAGAGAGAAAGAAAGAAAGGAAGGAAGGAAGGAAGGAAGGGAGGGATGTATTTGGGAAGGGGATGATTATTCATTGGCAAACAGGGACTTACTTTTATGAAATAATCACTGTGTTCTGTAGCATATGACCAACTTCTGAAATAGGTTTTCAAAATTGATCTCACTCTCTGGGGAATATAGCTATAGATTTCATATAGGGGTGTGTGTGTGTGTGTGTGTGTGTGTGTGTTCGAAAATTATTTTTAAAGATGGTGAAGCATAGTAATGTTCAAAAGCCAATGTCAAAATCTGATTAGCTCAATTCTGTTTTGTAACTTTAAACTCCTCCAAAACAACACTTATAATGGTCTATTGTTCTGAAAAACAGTAAAATCGTAGAGGAAGGCAAGGTTACATCAAGTATTCAAACTAACACGTATTCAGCACTGAACAATTCAACCCAAAACATCCTCAAGATTTCAGCTCTGCAAAACTTAACTCAGTGTTAACATATCTCTATGACCTAGAAATAAAAGATTATTTTGAAAAATTCCAAAATAGATTCATATCTTTTACATTGATGGCATTAAAATATGAAAGTATAGAACTGTAAGGTTGAAACATATAATCTAGAATTATTAAAAATATGTGAGATGGCAGAGAGATACATACTTTTCTCTTTTCAGTTTGATTGGAAGAGGATACGTATGTGAGTATTCTATACACAAGCAGACGTATTCAATTAATTCAAAATAGAGGTGTATTTCATGATGGAATCTAGAGGCAAGTAAAGATATTGGCTTGTATTTGTTTTGGGGTGTGCTTATTTATTGTGTTGGATGGCAAAAGACCCAAACATTCTGGGAGAGATCACATAATTTGTAAGTAGATAACTTGCTCTTTTTATATTATCCTGTTGACTTCCATTGGACCCAGCCTGGGTTTATCCTCTTTGCTAAGAGATAAAGCAGTTCTTCTTATTTATAATTTTACAATGAATTTTCCTTGTTTAATTGCTTTATATTCCTGAGCTCTCTAGAAGACCATGTTTTATATTTGTGTTGGACTATTGAGGTTTGGCCTTCTACCTAAATGACATCCTGGAGAAGATTCTTTTTTCTGCTAATAAACCCAACTAGCTTTAACTTTAAAATATTAGAGGCTTTCTTAAAGTGCGATGATATTTTGGATCTGTTGGTTTGGTATCTAGATTAATAATCTTTGGTGAAGTGCTAGCTTGCTAGACAACCACAGAAAACAATATCCATTCATTTTTGCAAAGACCTGACCCTAGAATGTTTCAATAGCAGTGGTTCCCTCTGCTTGATAAGTCACTTTATCTCTCAACCGCTCTCTCAAAAGAAA